TCTCCACATCTGTGGTATGTGGTCACAGCAACTGGAACTCACTGGTACAGATGGTTAAGTGCTGCCTTTTCTGTTCATAAAAGATGATCCTGGCTATGAGTGCAAGTGGGGAGGTTTGAAAAAAGGTAATTCCTTTGTATTCATGAAAGAAACCTTTATTATAACATTTGATTTATATTTTTCAGCATATCCAGAGAAACATAAAATATGTAGCTATTCATTTGGCATCATCTGTTGTCCTGGCACATGTTATACTGTGTAATGTTTAAATAGGTTTCTACTTGCATATGTCTTAAAATATGTATCACTCGCTTATGCTGAAAACTTTCAACATATATTCTAAAGCTTTTTGAAATATGTGGTCCATTATTGTTATCCATTGTCACCCCACTGTCCAATAGCACAGCAGAGCATTTTATTTTTATCTAACTGTAACTCAGTCACTGTTGATCACTCTTTCCCACTCTCCTTCCTTCTTATTCTCTTCAGATGCTGGTAACCACCCCTGCACTCTTAACTCTTCTGAAAGCAACTGTTATAGATTCCATGCATGTATGAGATCACATAGTACTGATTATTTAGTACCTGGCTTACATTACTTAGCACAAAAATCTCAACTTACAACATAATAAAGCATGCATAAACAAATCCAGGCAAATTTAGATCCCTTTTTGTTATTGAATGAAAATCAAAATCACATGCTTGAGAAAAGATACCATCTTTAACAAAGATGGTGCTCTATAAAATGGCTATATGAATACAGAATGTTGACTCTAGACCCACTTCATCTTTGTGTTCAGTGAAAATCAAACTGGATAAAAGATATAAATATTAAAACAAGAAGGCACAATCTATGGGAAGTAAAACTAGGTAAGGATCTTGAAGACATAGACACAGGGGAAGACTTGATGAACAGAATCCCGAATGTACAAAAAATAACATCAACAAGAATCAATAATTAGGATTATATGAAATGAAAAAGCAACTTCACATCAAAGGAAACAAACAACAGAGTGAAAGGACAACCTAAAGAATGCAAAAACAGTGGCCAGGTTGTCCTAGGAAAGAGGACTAACATCTAGAGTAGATAAAGAGGATGAAAAAAATTAGAACCATACAAAGTAAAATACCCAGTTAAAAATGGGCCTTTGAAATGAATAGCTACTTCTCAGAAGAAGGACAAATGGCCAATAAATGCATACGAAAACATGGTCAATATCTCTGGCAACTAAAAGAGTAGACGTTAAGGGCTAAGGATATAGCTCAGTGGCACAGTGCCTGCGTGGCAAGTGCAAGGTTGTGAGTTTGATTCCTGGTACCAAAAATAAATAAATAAAATTTTTAAAAATAGACCTTAAAATAAAGTGAGATTCTTTGTTCTTTCATAAAGGATAATTACCAACAAGAAATTAATTAATAACTAATTCTGGCAAGGATGCAGGGAAAAAGGAGCACTTCTCTATTTTTCAGAATGGAAACTAATACAAACACTAATGAAATAAGTATGTAGACTCATCAAAAAATGAAAATACAAATTGCATTTCATCCAACTATACCCCTTGTGGGTATCTTCCTGAAATATTCAGTGACATCATATCAGAGTGATACATGCATAGCCATGCATAACAAGAGTTAAATCTTGAAAGTAGCTTATATGACCATAAACAGATAGGTAAATCAATCAATCAATAATAAATGTGGTAGTTATATAAATGAAGTACTACTCTGCTATAAAAAAGGAAAATTTGAGTGATTTGTAAGGAAAATGGATGTACCTTGATATTATAACATTGTTAAATGAAATATATGAGAAGCACAAGATTAAAGATTGCATTCTGTCTCTTACATGAGAAACCCAGAGCATAAATAAATTAAAGATAAAAATAAAAGAGAGATGTTAGGAGACAGAAATATAGGTATTTTACAAATTGGAAGTGGATGAAGATGGGGTGAAGAAAAAATGAATGTGGAGGGAAGGGGACAGAAAAAGAATTAAAATGTGTTCTGTACTTGTACCAACTTCTCATAATTAATATAATTATATGTACTAGAAATAAGAAAGTTGCACAGGAAAGTTTAATGTCAGAAGACTTTCATAGGTGATCCCCTGTGTCCTTTAGCTGTATCGTGTTGATGAAGGAATAATCCTGTTTCTAAATCCTGATTCCAAATCTATTTTTTAAAAAAGTGAGGACCTCTTTTCTGTCTCAAACTCTCTACAGCAGCACACATTAGAGTTCAATGTTCCTGAATAGAGGGAGGAAGGCCAGGAAAGTTTCAGGAAGGTAACTGGAAGGAATCCATAGATGGGAAGGAACTTCAACACCTCGGAACTCATGGATGACCCTCCAACCAACAACATCAAAAGCAACGTGAACAGGGGCTTGGAATCTGAGCCCAGAAACTACTAAGGCAAAAACTTCAACACTATTTCCCAACCTTCACTGTGTGCAGCTATATGCTAGGGTAGCATTGATTTATTCACTTCCTATAAATCTGTCCAGGAAACAAGGTCCACATGTACCAAGGCCATAGCCATATCTGTCTTCAGGGAACATGAGATTGTGTGTTTTGAGTTGAGCTCCCTGGGAATTATGTTGCCCAAAAAAGTGAGAGATGTATTCCCTTACAAATGTTTTTTGTTTTTGTTTTTGTTTTTGTTTTTCTTCCGGTAGTAGGAATCGAACTCATGGCCTTGCACTTGCCAGGCAAGGGCTTTGCCACTGTGCTAAATCCCCAGTCCCTCCCCTTACAAATGTGAACACTGAGCTTCAGGGAGGGAGGGAGGGAGGGAGGGAGGCAGAGAGAGGGAGAGAGAGAGAGAGAGACAGAGAGAGAGAGAGAGAGAGAGAGAGAGAAATTCAGATACGGCCAAGTGAGTTTTCTCAAACATAATAATTTCGTCTTCTCTGTCCCTGAGTTTAGACACTGTCTCCAATCATTGAATCTTGGGTCTGTGCCCTAGAGCTGGAGAGCCTGGGATCTCTATACTTGGTTGGAAGCCCTGGGTATTGTCCTCTGAGGCCTCTCTTCTGTGACTCAGTCAAATTATAACCCCCAGACGTTCAGCATCAGCCCAACCCCAGAAAATCCCCAGATCTATGTACAGAGCAAAACTTTCTCAACAACCTGTGTTTGGTGAGGGGGGAAATTGAAGGTTTCCTGTGTGGTTAAGCTGAGTCTCATGCAAATGAAAACTGCCACTTGGACAGCAAGTGCAATTCCAAGTCTTGCTGTTCACAAATTTAGTAAGATTTTTAAAGGGTTCAGCTCACCCTTTATAGTTATGAATTGAGTACATTTCACTGGAGAAATGTAGGAAATAAGAAGAGCCCAAACATGTTACACTTGCCCCTCCAAAAAATGCCTTCTTCAAACATGCCAAAAGCTGCAATATCTATGTGTCTATGTCTGAGCATCTCAGTCTCCATTGCAGTACTCACACCACCTGGACTAATTTGTAGGTGATATCATGTCAGTGAATGAAAGCTCATGATCCTTGACTCTTGAGGATTCTCCTCCCTACCTGTCAGCCTTCTGGGTTATTTTTTTAGGTCCTATGCTCTTAGGCCATGTGTGTTACATTCTAGAAGAAAATTTTTCTACATTTTATTTATGTACTGTAACTTGGAATACTCAGATTAAGGGAGACGAGATAGCTAATCTGGTGTTGGAAATTTCAAGAAAGCCTAATGTTGAGGCTGTGTCATAGGTACTGTTGGGTATTTTAGCCAGCTCTAGATTGAGAATCAAGACCAAACAGCACAGCTCAATGATTTTAAATGTTCTTTGAATAGAAAAATACCTTTGCTGTAATTGAAATCTTCAATGTAGGAAAAGAGGATAGTGTGATTGTTTAAAAGGGGAATATAAAAAGAAGCCAAGTACTTTGCATCAGGAATAATACAAAGGATAAAATGAGGGCATAAGAACCCCAAGATCCCTATGCTTTGCAGATACAAGTATGGAAAATTCAAAGACATTGAGTGCTGAGCCCTAGGATAGCTTCCTGAAGAAATGCTGCCTGGAAATTGTGTTCCTGGGATTCCTTTCACAGTGCTCAGTCATCCAGGCATTCAGGGCCTTGCAACCATAATAATGTTAGCGCCTATAGCAGACCTTGGAGTCAATCACCACAGGGCACTGATTTTCTCTTCATGCAGAATGCAAGATGTATGGGATTGTGGAGGCTTCTACCCAGATTTAAAAACAAGTCCCGTGAGGTCTAGCAGTGTGCTTCTTAGAGGACAATATGTGAAGCTGTGAAGGCAAAGCCAAAATTTCAGTGGAGAGCAATGAAGTTGGTGAATCTCTGAAAGAGGATCATCTGAGGGAAGCTGCAACAATTGAACAAAGCCAGCCCAAGACAGAAGCCATAAGAACAGTACCTGCCAGCAATGCCCTAGGGGTGGGACCTCACAAGGAATTTGGAGAGTATATCTTGATAACTCTTTCCTTGAGTACTAGACCTGAAGCTACAGAATTATTTTTTTCCCTGATGGGTTCTTTCTGGATTTGGCTCCTTTCCTTTCTATCTTATAATTTTTAGTTGGAATGGAAATATTATTTTCCTGTGCCATTGTGTGTTGGCAATATTTAACTTAGTTTTTTTACTTTATACAATGTCTCACAGCCTAGGGTTTGCTTTCAATGTCAGAGAAAACTTTGGACTTCCACTTTTTAGCAATGCTAAATTATTAGAACTTTGGCAACACTTAGAGACAGACAAATTGTAATATATAGAGAGAAATGTGCAAGACTTTTTTGTGTGGCAAGGAGCAGAATTCTGTGGTTTTTATCTAGACACCCCCATCCTACTGATAAAAAAAGGATCATGCATGCAAAATTGGAGATTCTGAGATTCTGGAAGATGGCTGGATTGTGGGGGTATTATTGCTGACTTGCTATTACAAGGTAGTGCTGGCCAAAAGAGGCAGTTCACTGTGGGTGTGACGTGGTGTCCTAAAACAGTATATTTTCGTTTCAGCTCCTCCTATTTATTTGAATCTCCTGAAGGCCACCTTGACATCAGCATAATTCCTCAGCATTAGGCCTTTCCACTATGCTGTCGACCATGCAAACTGTGAGTAACACAAACCTCTCCTGGTTTAATTTGCAGGTATTGAGTCTCAAAAACTAAGAAAGTCACAAATATTGCTTCATTCTGTCTTTCTAGTCATGTGTCTAATTAACTCTGTTCAAACAAGCATCTGACTATATGTTATTTCACTTTGTGTCTTTTTTTAAGATAGGGTCTCATTACATAATTGAATCCAGCCTTGAACTTGTGGTTCTCCAGCCTTAACCTCTCAAGTTCTGGGATTGCAAGCACAGGCTACTATACTCAGCATTTTCTGTGTCTTTGTCAGTGTTTTATTGGTTTCAAAACCTCTTTTCCCTTTTTCACTTCCTTTTCTGTAAAATAACTTTAAAAATTCTTGATCCTCATGGGTTTTCAGCATTCTTCTTTAATAAGAGAGCGCATTCGTTGCTGCTGTGGAATTCTGAACACATATACAGTTCTATCCTTCGTTTACTGAGACACTGTAAGTCTGGTTCTTGGCTCGGGTAAGCAGAGGAAAGAATCTCAAACTTCAGAATAACACTAAAGATCCCAGAAAGGAGCTTTATGTTGGTCAGTCCAGCGTGACACTCTGAATCCACTCATTCTCCACCCTGACTTACCTTACATTACAGAAAGCCCTCCTGGGCAGCCTCCTGGTCCTGGCCACCTTTGTGACTGTATGCAAAGCCCACTGCTACCTCCAACCCCTGGTTCAAGGTGAAGGTGATTCTCTTCCAGGTAAGTCTTCATTCTCAATGTTGATTACACTACTGTTGCCTGGAAGATAGGATCTACTGTGAGGTGAAGGCCCTTGAATCAATAAGTGAAGCTGTGTAAGGGAAGATACAGATATGGACTCAAAGAGAGTTTTCAATGTGGCCTGTGTATAAGAAAGCAATTCGCATTTCTGTCTGGCTGAAAATTGTCCGGAGAGCTTTGCAAACTTACTAGTGTTAGGCTTCATGTAAGTCTAGATGAAACAGAATCTGTGTTGTCAGAGCTGCACATTCAAAATTGCTTGGTTGGGGGCTGGGGACTTAGCTCAGCGGCAAAAGCACCTGCCTGGCAAGTGCAAGGCCGTGAGTTCGGTTCCCGGTACTGGAGAAAAACCCAGAAAAACCAAAAAAAAACAAAACAAAACAAAATTGCTTGGTTGACTCGCACATGAATCCAAGGATAGTAACTACTGCTTAGTCCAAAAAGGTATTCAGACTTTGATGTTCATGCCAAACTGAGGAGTCTTTCTAACTTGGAGGTGCTAATTCAGGGGACCTTCAAGGAGTTGTTAATGTTCCATGTCCAGGGTGGCCAAGATGATGCTGAGGGTGGGAGTTCAGCAAGATCATGTGGCCCCAAAGGTCTCTGCAGCAGTGCTCAAACTTTCTTGAACATTGGGATCACTTGGTGAATATTTTGAATGTGAGGGCAGCATGGGTTTTTACCCAGGAATCTTGATTTTATGTTCTATGGTAGGGCTTAATGTAGATTTTTTTTTTTGTACTACATTGTTTCAGTATGCTGATTTGCTCTGGTGCTGGGGATTTAACCTAGGGCTTTTTACATGCTGAAAATGAAATCTTTCACCAGCCCACACCTGTTCAATAAACACTTTTGAGTCCCCTTGATCTCCACTGCACAAGTGCACATAGTATTGAGAGCCAAAGTGAAAGGAAGAAAACTCAAAAGTACAGAAATGAGCATTTTTTAGAGCTACTCCATGGGGCGAAAGTTGATTTAAAATCAAAGAGGAGCCCCTTAGTTATTATTTAAATTCTTAGTCTGAAGTTAAACTTAGAACAATTTTAGTTTGTTTTAGAAAATATTAACAGTTATGGACTTCTTAGTACTGTAGTTCTTTTGAGGATTCATAGATCACCACTATCATATATGGCTTCTAAATTATCTATCTCCTCAAGCCAAGGCCTGGCCTCAATGTCCTCAAAGACCTGTTCCTATTTCATGACTTGGGATCTCTACTGATGGTGCTGTGGTGACTTTTTTTCAGTATGCAGGGATCTTGATGGAACCACACACCCAATAAACTCAACATGGATGTCTTGGAACTGTACTAAGTGTGTTTGCTATCAAAATAAGTTGGAATGCTGCAGTATGTGAGTATCACTCCAGTAGTGATCAAGAGGGTATGTGGTTGTCCCCAAGGAACACCTCCTCCCACATACAAAATTCCTTCTTTCAGGAGTTTCTTTTGTTTGTTTGTTTGTTTGCTTGCTTGTTTGTCTTTTTGAGACAAGGTCTCACTGTACAGTTCAAGCTGGCTTTAAGCTTCCTTTGTAACCCAGGCTGGTCTTGAACTCACAACAATACTCCTGCCTCAGCCTTCCCAGTGCTGGGATTACAGGCTTGCACCAACATGCCTGGCCTCTTTCATGTGTTTCTAAGAGATTTATTTTTATAGCATTTTTAGACTCACATTAAAATTGAGTGAAGACTGAGATTTCCCATCTGTCTGCTCTATAGGCATAGCAACCCAGACTGTCAACATCCCCAGGAGCAGTTCCATCTACTACCAGTGAGAGTCTGTATCCAAAAGTGACTGTCACCTAGATGCCACAGTGTCCATGAGGGCTCACTCTGGATTTGATGCAGGAGTTTAATTTTAGTCCTGTATTTTGTACTGATCATGTTCATTTAGTAGATTCACACTGCTGTGCAACAGCTGCACCAATTATCCCAACAGTCCTTTTATCTTGGACAACTAAAGTTCAGCATCAATACAACCATCACTTCCCTCCCCTGGTGCCCCAGCCCTTGGCCATCACTGTTCTCCCTTCTGTATCTACAAGCATCACACAGCTGTTCTAGGAGATTCATACACTTGCATGCACTAAATATTTCAACTGTTGAGATGCCTTCACTGAACTTAGCATGAAATGCTCAAGGTCTATCCTTATAGCAATGTGTGCTAGAATGTCCTTTACTGCAAACATTGTGACATTAAATTGTATGGACAGAACACGTTATAGCTATGGTTTCACCTGTGAATGGGCACTTGACTTGATTCCACTTCAGTTTTAATCCTCTTTACCTATTCATTATATTTATTCTGGAATATCCGTATGTGCATGGTTTCTGGAGAAATGAAAAGAATATTCATTGGCCAAATGCCTTTGTCGAATTTGTCTTCATGACCACTGTAGCCTTAACCTTGGAGGAGTACAATAACAGAAGTATTGTAAACACAGTCATAACGAAAAGATGGGAGTTATCAGGAGTGATCTTCAGTGCACTTTCTCTGAAACCCCGTGTTCCTTCACTGCTCATATTGAACTGAGGGTAGCCTAGGATTCTACCAGTGCTTCCTACCAGTTTTCTGTGGATGTCAAAGCTGTATCACTTGGTGGGTAGAGTGCAGATACCTGAGCCATGTTCAAATGAAGCACCTTACTAACAGTCCACAGTCCTAATATCTCTATCAGTAAGCTCTGGCTTATAGTGTTTTCCAAGAATAGTGTCTGTTTTATTTGTTTTTTGTAGTCATAGCAATGGTTCCAGGACTCAGGCATACTAGGCAATTGTTCTACCATCCACCTAATGTGCATGCCTAACAGGAGTGTCTTTGCAGGAAGAAGCATTGTTTAATGTAGCATTTCCCGAACATGCCTCTAAGACTTACCGTAATAGAATCTCAGAGAATCCTACATATACCACAGAAACTAGAGGAGCAAAAAGATCACTTAACCTGAATGCCCAAATATTATGAGAGTTAAACTTTCTGGAAAGTTCTTCCCACAATGGTTGAGTAGCCTCTTACTTAGTGCATAGTGGAGCAATGGGAGAGAAAGTTTCACTACCAGGCTGAGACAGATGTCAAGTGCATCTTCCCAGACATTTTAATGACTGAAAACAGCCTATTTCAGCTGTTTCTTGATTTTGTGGCTCTTAAAAGTAGACTTTTCTTGGTAGCAAGTAAAAGTTGACTCTGAAGCGTGATTGAATCTCAACCATATCCTGTAATAGTCCAAATTTCCTCCCTCACAAGGGAGCATTTCCACCTGTTTTCTAAATGGTCACCCATAGAACAGTCATCTCTCATACTTGTACAACCATAGGACCTTTTATTTCACAAAAGTCAAGTGAAGAAGAGTGAGTACAAATCCTGGCAGAAAAGTGAAAAGACCCTCAATGCTGGACTCAGCTACCTGAGTCTGAATATCCTTGAACTTGTGTAATAGCTGTGTGTTCCCTTGTAAGTTTCTCAGTCTCTCACAGTCTCATTCCTCACAATAATCTGAAGATTGTCAGGTGGAAGTGAGAAATAAATGATATTTAGCATAGTTATCCATTCACTTACTGTGGTTGTTATAATTTCTATGGGCCTGGTCTTTGGCCCTGAGCCTAGGACAAGGACAGACTCAAAACCATGTGTCCAGGTTGGAATTATCAGATGGGAATTATCAGGAGTGATCTTCAGTGTACTTTTTCTTAAACCCTGTGTTCCTTCACTGCTCATATTGAACAGAGGGTAGCCTAGGATTCTGCCAGTGTTTCCTATGAGTTTTCTATGGATGTCAAAGCTGTAGTACTTGGGGGATAGAGTGCAGATTTTTTATTCTTTCCTGCCATGTTTTCTGTCCCGTAATTCATGCTGCTTTGCTGTAGGGACATGGACTCAATTATCCAATTATCAGAATTAGCTGTCTCTTCAACTTTAACTGTTTCACTTCCTACCATGTATGTTTTCTCATGATCTTTCTTTCGTGGAGGCAACACGGGCTTATTTAGTTAATCGTCTCTGAGACAGAGGCTCACTGGACAAAGCAGGGGGGTGTTCGTGTCTCTGTTTGACACAGGCCCAGCCCCACAAGCCCTGAACCCAGACAGATAAGAAAGCATCCAGCCTCCCGGTGGAGGGGTCTAATAACAGGAAAACAATGTTCTCCCTGAGATTCTCAGCTGTTTACTCTCTCATGCTAGCTCTGGTTGGAATTAAAGTTGAATCCAGTGATGGGTCCTGAGTCAACAACTTAATCCTGCACAATGATGGAAAAATTATACACATTCTTTACCTACCAAACATGTTTTTAAGATTAGGTATCTTTTAATGATCACTATTTTATTTATAATTATTTGCTATATGAGTAAAATATATATTATGTAAAAATTTTAATTTGATAATTTTCAAGTTTAAAATTCACGGACATTGACATTCACATTATTGTTGAAACATCACCATTTCCAGTTTTTTTGTTGTAGTATTATTTGTTTGCTGTGTGAGTACTTTTGATCAATCCCCGGCCTTCCTCAATGCTGGCCTTGAAATTTCAATCCTTCTGCCTCACCCTCCCATGTACTTGGGATTATATGGATCCCACAATATCTGACTATTCCCAAAAGTTTTAATGATCCCAAACCCTAACGCTGTATTCTGTATTCTATAATTTCCATTCCCCTTTTCTGCCCACCCCTAATCCGCAATCTTCTAATCTTCCTTCTGTCTAAGTGACTTTTCCTCTTCTAGGTAGTTCATGCTAGTGGAACTCATGGTGCTTGTCTGGTCTGTTGAATTACTTTTCTGAGGTGCTGCCCAACATGCAGCCCTGTTGATGCACATTTCCTCAGCTCCACAGTAATAACACCATGCGTTAGAGCTCCATGTGTGGTTTATCCATTGCTGTGTAAAGAGACTTCTAGATGCCTGCATGTTTGTTTATAGTGAGTAAGACAGCTGGAGCACACACGTGTGTTGACATTTTTGTTTTTCTCTCTTTAAAGTTCTAACTGTAGTAGAATTCATAAGTTATATGCACTTTGGGTTTAACTTCTGATAACTATCAGGCTTACTTCCTCTGTTGTTGAACCATTTCCCATTCAGATATGAATACCATCACTTCTGAATTTTAAAATATTTTCAATGACATTTTCTTATAGGTGTGCTAAAAACTTACATTTTGTATAGAAATATTGGAAAGTACAACAAAAATATTACTTTATTTATAGTTCTACTTTCTAAAAGTAATGGCAATTAATAGCATTTTTTCTTTTATCCTTTTGTGTACTGGATATCAAACCTTATATAGTCATTTGTGAGGCTATTAGTTAAATAAATAGCTCTGCATCATAGTCTCTCAACTCATAAACACTTCAGAATATTTTGTAATGCCACGGAACCAGTTTTTAGTCTTAATGGAGGGGGACTTTAGAGCCCAATGTAGGATTCCATATTCTGCTTTTTCTTACAGGATGCTGTATTAAGGGGTATCTATTATGCCTGGTCCACTGGCTCAGTGCCCAGTGCCTTGGTCCCAGTGATCAGATTTCTGCCTTCCTCTTTAGTGTATCCTGAAGGACCATAAGTGTTAGTGCTTAGGGTCCATGTAGTGAGCATTGAAGAACCACACTGCTTTGAATGGCTGAGAAAGAGATGGAAATGATTCTCTTATTAAAGTATAAGTCCAGTATCTCTACATGAGGGGAAATATTTTCCCAAAGTACTGTTGAATTTACTGCTTCTGTACATGTAAGGCATTTTAACCCTTCTTCAGTGTACTTGAAGGGGATAGAGAGCACAAAGCTGGGCCCCACTGGATGTGAGTTGGATTTTTCCAGGAATGTGGCCCTAAGTTAATTATATTTCTTTTGCCTCTTTGGACTGAGACCTGGGTTGGCTCCCTTGCTTCTGTTGGTGGTGTTAGCAGATCTGGTAATAGCTCACCACATGATGTGAGAGAGCACTTTTTACCACATTCCAGCTGTGTCAGTGCTGACCACCTCCTAAATAGAGAGAATGGGAAAACAACTGCCTGGATAAGACTTCCCAACCACAGTGTGAGGCAACCCTGTCCTTGACCTGTGAGAAAGTGTTCTGCTTTCTGGGCATACAGGGATAAATGGAGGATATACGTGAGAGCTGCTGTCTGTGCTCTATGGTACAGACAGATCTAGGTGTCTGGGACGTACCTTAAGGCTCCCAAACAAGGTGTACCTTAGGTTAGTGATGGGTACCCAAGACAGCATCAGTTGAGAACTGGCCTGGGCAGTGGAATGGGGTGACTTTTGTTCTTGTCCTTCTAACAGCTGTGTTCTTTCTCCATGGCAGACTCCATATACCTCTTCAGTATGACAAGTCCAAATGCCACACCGTGTTTCACACGAATGACTGTAGCGTCACTGTTGTGCAGACTTGGGATCAACCAAAGCCTTGTACTTTCTATGTCCGGATACTTGATGTCTTGAAGGCGGCCGAGCGTGTCCTACTCCCTTCTCAGAAACCACCATCCTCATGTTAGTAGTATCACCACAGGAATAGTACAAGAGAAAGTCTACCTCATTCAGTTCATCTCTCTTGATTTCTACCAGTCTGTGATTGTGGAGCCCTGCCTATCAGTAAAATCATTCTTGAGCAAATCCTCGAGTATGTATTTTTTAATATTATTAATTATGTGTGTAGTAATTTAATGTACATAACAAAGCCCACAGACATTTAAAGGGGTAGACAAAATAATATAAATTAAAGGTGCAGCATGATTCCCACATTGCAGTTAGTCTTCATGCATCTCTCCACAGAAAACACTGCTACCTCTACCACTTCTCACACATCACCCTCTGCTGCCTATGTCCTGCAACTTTGTGAACAAAGAAAAAATAAGTGTATCTTTGAGATGATGTTAGCTCTTTATTCAGTTTGCAGAATTCGTGTTCAAACTCTAGCTTTATTTCAGGTAGTATCATAACTACTTTGTCCTCACATTCCTCCACATATACCTGAAGTCAGGACACGGTGGGAAAAACAGCTTGATAAATTTCTCACAGAAAGATATACAGACCATCAGCAAATCAAGGCCAGGGCTCTGACAGTGTGCCCCAACCTGAGTACAGGGATCTCTGTGTCTTTTGCTGTGCACAAACACTCAGCATTAGGTGATTTCAGTGATAACCCACGTTTCTTTTACTGCATGTGTGTTAGAGAGTGTGTGCTTCCATCATCCATTATTGATTGTTTGCACCATGCAAGGTGCTAGGCCTGGGATCTAGCAGTGAATGGAGAGGTCAGACTCTTGCTGTGCTGGGGCTTAGAGTTACTCTGCACCTGACAAATATCAAGCAAGCAGCTGTGGGCAATTGATGCAGTGCTACAATTCCCCACACTGACCATCATGTTCAAACTTGCTATGAGGATCATTTATCATATGAGGCAGCCCCTCAATTTTATCATCTTTCTGGGAAATTAGAATGTGCTTTGTCCAACTTTAATTCCAGTAAGTCTTATTTCAAAGTTCTTATCATGGTTCAAAGGAGACTGGGAGACAAATAATTTGGGGCACAACTTCTTGGGTTCCTCTGCTTGAAGAGTTAATTGTGTCTGATTTCTACTGGAGTCTTGGTGACCTCTAGGACATCCTCTTCTAAACAACTATATCTTCACCTTCCTTCCCTTCACAGACTCTCACTGTTGCTTATTGTGAATACATGGGTTTAGGTCTTTTTCGCTTTGCTCACAGCTCACCCTCCGAAGCACATCTAAAAGTCTTCATATCCTGTTTTGCCACATGCAAGCACAACAGGTGGACTTGAGTGATATGAGTTATGATCTCGATTCTCATAGTTGTTTACTCAATCTTTAAAAAAATCACCTCAAAATTTATACAATATTTATCCCATCTTTGTATCACACTTTAAGTATGCAGTACAGTTGTGCTCGTTTCATTCACACTGCTGTGTAGCTGTCACCAATACCCACCTGCTGCACTTTCACCACAGATATGGAAATACTGTAGCTATGAAACAGTCACTGTGATGGCTCCCATCTCTCCCCTCCTTGGCCAACATCATGCTGTTTACCCATGAATTTGATTCTTTGATTTTGTGGTTTTATATGCAGGTGGATATGAGGAATGGGTTCTTGTACTCTTTAGCACAGTGGGACAACTATTCTTGACAACAACTAATTAAAGATGTCAAAACACTAAGAGAGAGTATAATTCATGTTCTCCATGAATGGAGGTGATACATCTCCCAATTAAACTGATCTGCTCTTTATGCTTTGTGTACATGTATTGAAAAGTCATAATGCATCCCATAAATATGTACATTTACTATGTATCATGTACAAATAACAGTAATTGGCTGGCTCCAAGGCAAGGCAGCATGGCAGAGGAGCATGTTCATGGAATGACAGGCAGGAGACAGCAGACTTCTTTCTCTTCTTCCCTTTATTTTCCACCAGGGAACAAGCCTATTTGTTGGTGCCACAACCCAGGGTGGTGCTTTCCTCTGCTATAATTCTATCATCCCATCCAGAACTATGTTAAACCAATGAACAGGCTGATTCAGTATCAAACACCTACAATCTAGTGTCACATACCTGTTATTCAGTCACTCCCAATAGGCCCACCTATGAGTTCATAAGGCCGTGAGAGATCAGCTAGGTACAAGATACAACATGAAATAATACCTACCTTGCAAAAAACAACAAGCATTGATACCATATTGTCCATATAACATAAGCAAATGTCATTATTTTCCCATAGTCTCTATTTGAGTCCAGAATTACAGATTGTATTTAGTCATGAGATTACTTCAGCTACCTTTAATCAGAAACCACAGATCAGCCTTTTGTGAACTTCGACAGCCTTGATATTTTTGAAGAGCTCTGGCAATTATTTCACATAACAAGTTCCTCTGAAAACACTTAGGTATACATTTTTAAAAGCAGGAACACACATCATAGTCATTCAAGAATTGTAAGTTAAAACATTGAGATTGCATTTCACTCCAGAAAGAATGCCTACCACCAAAAAATCAAATAATAACAAACAGCGGTGAAACTGTGAGGATAAGGAACACTTCTTCACTTTTGATGGGAGTGTAAATTCATACAATCAATATGGAAATCAATATGTAGTTTCCTCAAAAAGTTAAGATTAGAGATTTCATTTGAATCAGCTATTCTTCTTATTATCTTCCCCATCAAGTTAAAAGCATCATACCACAATGATATATACACACCTTATTTTATGGCAGCACAATTTATAATAGGTAAATCTTGTAAAGAGCTCCAATGCCCATCAAAAGATGAATGGGTAAAGAAAATGTGGCTCCAGGAGCGGCAAGGCTCCTGAGTCCGAGTTTGCGCTGGACGCATACCACCACGATTCCCAGCTGAAATGCTCGCACAGAGCCAGGTAGGCCCCATCCAATCCCTGAGAGCAGGACGTGAGAACAAAGACCCCACGGACATTACAGACTGAGT